GGCAGGCATTTGGTCAGTGTTCGGTGTTCAGACAAGACTATTTCATTTCAAATATTCACAGATATCCAAGGACAGAGAATTACTACTTGCTCAAGCCACAGATTCATATCTGCTTAGATAGATAGAGTAAGCATAACCTGACTTTACCTTACATATAGGTAAGGAATATAATGACCCAAAACTGACCTTCATTAAAAGATTCTAAACTCCTTACACTCACCTTTACCTGAGTTTACTGATGATTTTAGTTCAGGAAACTGACTGCTTGTGTTTTACTCCCAGGGACAGCAGAAGAGATAATTAACTTCTACCCAGCCACAGACCCCCTACATCTATGATCAGAATGGCTGCTAGTAGCATTTCCCCGGAACCTATAATTTAGAGGCCCGGGTCTCCTCTTTGTTTCTACTGCCTAAACTCTAGACTTAGGCCTGTAAAAACTCCAGTGTCTACTGAATGTGCTAATGAAAGCAGGAGCCATTGTCTCCCCGCGACTGTTTAAGTAGGTTGTCTAGTTAGTTACTATCCTTCATGCATACTGACAAAAAAGAAGTGGTGTGCTGACTCAAAAAAATAATTCATACCCAATTCATAATTTTACTGAAAATAAGCCATTCAACTCTTTCTAACCACCTAAAAATGTAGTGTAGCACACTAATTTTCCCTTCTAGAAGTCCCTGATGACTTAGTTCCTTTCTTAAATAACCTTCTCCATTAAGAAGTTTACCAGATGTGCACTAGCCACTCCCACCTTTAGATGACAACCACAGATCTCTCTCTTTCTCTCTCCCCCTCTCTTCCTCTCCCCCCTCTTCTCCCTCTGTTCCCCTTCCTCTCTCCCTCTCTCTCTCTCTGAGTGTGCATGTGCTTCTGTGTGTGTGTGTGTGTGTGTGTGTGTGTGTGTGTGTGATGGATGCATGGAGAGAAGACACTCATGGATATCTGAGTAAGGTTTAGTTGGTAAAATAAATTATTATTTTAAAATCATTCTTTTTTCTTCCTCTACTCTTTCCAGATGGCTCCATGAAAAGAACATTATCCACACACAACAGGACTGATACACATATAAATTCACAGAGACTGACAACACATACAAGACACACACCAGGTAAAACTAGTTGAAATCTCAGCATGGAAAAGAGGGTGTAGAAACAACGTGCTATCTGAAACCAAGAAGCTACTTACAATTGACATTCTGGGAAAGGGAAAATTGTTTTTTGGCTATTTTATTTTTTTGATGGGGTGTCACTAGGTATATCTAGCACTAAGAACAAAATTTGAATATAACCCAAAGAAAGCATACATGTTTGAGATGAGGGATACATCTGCATTGATAATCTCTTTCAACTTTGTACTCAAGTATTTGAAAATCATCCTCACACATTTACCGTAAAGACTGCTCAGCTGTTGACCCAACCAGCCACAATGCTGATAAGATGACAGATAAACGGACAGGTCCAAGAGTAACAAGATTGTTACAGAGGAGATAAATGTCTTTCTGATGATCTTCGAGGCCTACAGTACCAAAAATAACTCATGCCCTATTCTATAAATCTAATTAAAAGCCTGTGACTGGGAGTGAAGGTGTAGATCATGGGCCTTAGAGAATAACCATAGCTGTTGTTTTGCTGTATCGACTATATCCATACATTATCATATCCATACATTATTATCATATCCATACATTATTAGCCTTCATCAGTGAAGCTTACTTTTGCTATGGATAATGCAGGGGTCCATGTCTCATCAAGGTGTCGATTACAAGTAGCTGTGGATCTCTCAGCTCTAAATGAGTCGTCTGTATCTCCCCTGTCAAGACTGAAGGAGCATCCCTAAGGAGTAATCAGAAAGGATGTAAGTTTTATGTAAGTTTCATGGGGAGTACAGCAAAACAGGGTCCTCTGGACATGACATAGCTACTGCACCCATGAACACACTGTTTTCCTGCATAAAACTTTCCCAGGATTGGCCCTGTCATCATCATGATGTGAGGAGCTAGCAGTTTCTGTTAGACTTAAACAAGTGTATTTCATAAACTCCCAGTTTCATCAGTTTTGGTATTAACTGTTTTTACTTTAAAATAACAATTATAACTGGCTGCCAGGACTGAATATTCTAAACCGTTCACAGACTTGTTAATTCAAGGAAAATGAACATGTGAAAATGTTAACGTATAAAAGACATTGCCATATAAATGGAAATAAAGGCTAGGTCACTTGCATTTGGATAAAACCTCGGGATAGCCTCTGAGGAGACACTCTTTACACTTGTCTTGTGTACTTACAGTCGTGGAAACCACAGGAACAAACACTATGGATCAATGAAGAGATTTTTCACAATGAAAGAAAGTTATGGTAGATCATGTGGCAAATAGAAAAGGACACATAAGTGTTGGTTCCTCTGCTGAAAACACAGCACTGCTACCTCTCCTTCCATGTGTTTATTAACTGTTAATTAATACTGATGGGGCATTCTACTGAAGAGAAAAACTGTTCTGAGGGAACCACAAAAATCAATTAATTAAATACAAAAACTGTTTCTGCCTATTAGCATCTTCATTGTTCCACAAAATGACATTCAACATTAAAAATGCAGTGCTAAAATTTAATTGAAACTGTTAAAATTTTACCTGTTTTATAATAAGTAGTGATAGAGGACAGAAAAATTCTGTCACTATTTACTTCAAATGATTTCTTACAGGTTGCAATTCAATACAATTTACTCTAATTCCATTTATTTTAGAATACTGTAAGACTTCAGGAAGATGCAAATATTTGCCACATTCACCACGCTTTTATATACTGGATGAAAGGTGGAGATATGTACAGTTCTGTAAGTACTAATTCCTCTGACTTTTAAGATGAGCCTTGTCTAGATATCCTGAATGCGTCCAGTGCCTACTTTCCTTCTTTGTTTCTTCCTTTGCTTTCTTCCCTCATTTCTTTCACTAATTCTCTTAAACATAGTAATAGACATAGTAATATATCTGTGACAATCATGCTAGAGAAAAAAAAAAACAAGAATAATGCTTGGTCAATAGGGAGTCCATGGTCGATTGTTTGCCATGAATCTGTGTGACGACAGGTCATAGGCCCAAGAGAAGAACTTACTACTATTATTCGATTAGTTGGACATGACCTTATACAGACACTTAATGATTTATTATATCCATAGATTAATGCATCTCTCAGCTCTAATCAGAGAACCTACTACTGAAGTAGAAAGAAATTAGCACAGAGACCCATAACTTACCACAGTGCAGTGGATAAGAGACTGTGGAATTCTCAGCCCTATGTGTAGGACATCTGTATATTAAACATCCTTTCCCCAAGGTCAGGGATCAATGTGCAATAGGACACCTACCAATATTCTCATAACCTGCTCCTACCAGAGGAGTACCTCTTATGTGAGCACTTGGCCACCAAGAAGGAAGAGTCCTTGGGCCCCACTTTGTCTGGTTTTATTTCTTTATTATATATACATGCACACATCATTACATACACATAAGCAGCTGTATTTATATTATAGTATTCTTTCTGTCTATGTTTTGTGGTTTGACCACTTGGTATTAGGTTATCTAATTCTTTGATTGATAGGTTTTGTATTTTAATTACCCCAGGTGTTAATAGTTTGTATAGTCAGAGATCAAGATGGTTAAGAATTTTTCCCAGTTTTGTGGTGGCACATGCTTTTAACCCCAGCATTAGGGAGGCAGAGACAGGTGGATCTCTGTGAGTTTGGGGCCAGGTTGATCTGCAGAGCAAGTTCCAGGATGGGCTCCAAAGCTACAGAGATACACTGTCTTAAAGAACCAAACCAAAAGCAAAGAAAAGGAAAAAAAAATTCCAGAATTTCTCACATTCTATACTCTGTTCGTCTTACTGATATTTTTCTAGTTATATACAACATATAAATTTAGTATAGTCACATTTGTTGACGTTTAGAACTGTTTCCCGTTTGATTAGAGTCTGTCCGGAAACTTCTTTCTTCCTGTATTCCTCTAGAAGTTTCAGCATCCATGATTTTGGGATTTTTCTTTCTTTGTTGTTTGGCATGGAATTTCTCTGTATAATAATAGTTGTTCTGGAATTTGCTCTTTAGACCTGCCTGGCCCCAAATTCAGAGAACAACCTCACTTTGCATTCCAAATGCTGATATTAAAGTCTAGCACCAACATGCTCTGCTGAACATTTCAGTTGTTAAAAGAAGGCATTTCATACATTTTAAATCTGTTTTTGAGTAAGCTGGGAGATTGAGATCTTATTTTATTCTTCTGGACTCCAATATTCAGTTTTTACAAACCATGTGTTGACATGATGTCTTTTCTTTATTGTATACTTCTGAGCTTTTATCAATCACGAGGTGGCCATAATATGGTGATTTATTTGAGCTCCTACTTTATTCCAATGATCTCTATGTCTGTTTTTGTTCCACTAGCATCATGCCTTTACAACTACAGCTCTGACCTATAATTTGAGGTAAAGGATCCAAATTCCATCAGAGTTCTTTACCAAAATTACTTGTGTCCAGTCTTTGATGTTTCCAAATGAATTTTCCTTTTTAAAAATTTTTTCCTTTTTAAAAAAAATTTCTAGATCTCTAATGAATGTAAGTATATTTTTGTTTGTTTGTTTTTGCTTTTGCTTTTTGAGATAGGATATCTCTATAGTTTTGGAGCCTGTGCTGGAAATTGTTCTGTAGAGTAATAGGCTGGCCTTGAACTCACAGACTTCTGTTTGCCTTTGCCTCCTGAGTGCTGGGATTAAAGGGATGAGCCACTACAGTCCAGGTTTCTTTATTTCTTCCTTCCTTCCTTCCTTCCTTCCTTCCTTCCTTCCTTCCTTCCTTCCATGTAGTTGTAACTTGTAATTAATTGTTTTGCATGTATTTATGATATCTATGTATATATGGCTATAAGAGTGCTGTGATGCTCATATAAAGATCAGAAACAACTTTTTGCAGTCCTGATGTAAAAAATAAAAAGAAGACCACACAAAGGATGATGCACTTGCTATTTATTTTCTTGCATAATTAAATGTATTTCTATCAGGATCATTGGTGCTATTGGGTTTAATGTATGAAGTGGAAGATCTAAAATCATACAGAAATTTTAAGTGAAGATATTTCCTCATTTGCCATCTTTATCAGCATTGTGTGGAAGTGTCGAGGAAAGATGAACAATCATGATTGATGGGAAGTAACTTGATAGCATCCTGAAAACAAAAGCAATAGAATTATCTCAAAAATTAAAATACTGTAGATATATGTTTGGTAAAGAAAAACTTCATGTATGAATGAATCTGATCAAGTGTCTGCAGGAACACCAAAGACAACATAGAGAATGAAATAAGAATTAAATCAAACAACATCACATACCCTCTGACTTCCACAATTTTAAATTCTATCAAATTCATTTATGATTAATCTACTGAGTCTAACCTGTCTTTTCATTCTCATGTCTTGCTTTCCAATCATATTTGGATATATGCTATAATAAAAAAAATCTTAGTTGTAATTCAATGCTTCAAGGAGATTATCTGAGGTTTTTAATTCCCTATGATAACCAGATAATTAACTTTAATGAAATGCACAAATATAGTTGAAAAAGCGAAAACTAATAGTTTTTATTTGGTACAAAGACAACTCCTCTTTTACATGCATGATAATTTAGTATTTTATAGTAGATAAATATTTTATATTTCATAAAATTTATACTATTTAATGTGTCTAAATACTTGACTCTCTAAAATTAAATTTGTTAATATTTATGCATCCTTATACTGCAATTACTTTACTGATTTAAATTTGTATTGTCTTTGTATAGTAATTTGTTATGATCAAATATTTCAACCTCATTGTCTTACAGATAACATTAAAATGTTATTAAAACGCATATCAAGACACACGGTTTGCATATAGCTTCCTTCTCTGAAGTACTCCTTCTTCTTCAGAAGCGGTGTACTCAGCTCCTATAAGCTTGTGTTTTGGGAGGAAAAACTTTCAACAGGACCCTAGGCAGCTCTACTGTTTATGGAGTCTCAGTCATAAACATTCACAATTGAGGTCTGTGACACCCTGGAAAATGTTTATGGAATATATAATATGCTTTATACATATTACTGATTTTGTAACATATAGTACATAGTTGAGAATAGCTGAGTGTCAGGAATAATGGTTGTCAGGCCAGGAGAAAAAAAAACTTATATAAGCTTCGCCGACATACCTCTTGATTGGGGCTAATCAGAATATTTTGGTTATGAACATTTCAAAAAGCAATTATACTTCTAGAAATTTTAAATTGAACCTAAATTTCATCTGATGGGTTTGTTCCTTTTTCTTTTTCAACTGATATTACCTTAAGTTTTTGAACTATATGCATATCCAGTTCTATTTTACCTCTTACAAATTTCCTGTGGTTAGTAACCAGAAGGTTCAGGATAAGGATAAGGTTGTATTCTAATATCATATGGTGGAAGATCAGTATCGCTGTCTACTGTTTCAGTTGGAACATATCGGCGATCACGATGTCTCTGTAAAGACAAAAATAGAAAATTAGAAGGATTTGAGACCACATGACTTTAACCACTGTATCTGTCATTAATAAATTCCATGTCCTGGGGTCACTGTAGTTTTGACTGTGAACTACATGATGCTATTTCTCTAGGTTTATGAGATTTTAAATTGTATAAAGAAAATAAAGTTTCAAGGAAGGATAAAAAAGTGTATTTATATCTTATTAGGGTTTTCATTTACGTGGTAGACTATTGGGGAAAGACAAACATAGAAAATGGGCCTTAAATCTCCTTTATGATATCTTCATCTGGCCACCTCCCAATCCTTGAATCTGTAGAGAGGTGACTTTAAACTTAGATGGAGCTTCTCCACAACACTGGAGTTCTATCAGCTGCTGGTCTTTAATACCGCCTAACTTCTGTTTATTCCCATGAATGCAATGCATTTTATCCCTCTTCTGTAATGGTTATTTGAATCATTTTAAGTATTGTATGTTGTGTGTCAGAGAAGAAATTTTGCAGTTATCACATTGATGTGACACAATTTAATTCAGCATAAAAAAAAGACAAGCTAGCCTCGACAGGTATATGTCATTCTATGCAAAAGACTTGAAAAAGAGAAAATAACATAGCCTTCAATAGAGAAAATGGTGTGTCCTTCAGGAGAGGGTTTGGGGAAAAACATCAACAGCACTAAAAGAAATGTCAAGTTAAAATCATGGAGATACATGACAACTTCCTGTTGAATATAATCATAATGTCCTCTCTATATCTTAACTTCGGCAAGAAATACTATCACTTAGGTGAAGCAAATACTGGTGAGAAAATGTGCAGCAACTCAAGAGAAAGTCAATTTACTCTTAACAATAAATTGGCTTCCTTAGAGTAACATTGTAGAATTGTTCTCTAAATTATTTCAAAGGAGATTAAGCACTTTCATGGTGAAAAAAAAAAACAGTGAAATCTCTGACATTTTGCTATCTTGGCAATACACAGGCATCTTCACACAATAGTATTGCTTGTTCCTAGGGAGTAGATTCTAGAGAATCATCTATGAATTGAACAACAATCAAACAGTACTTACATGACCTCTTTTACCATGCTTATGATGTTTCTGCAAAAATGAAAAAGAAAAATACAGTACAGGGCTAGGTAGTGGTGACCCACAACTTTAATACCAGCAATAAGAAGGCAGAGGCAGATGGATGTCTGTGAGTTCGAGGACAGCCTGGTCTACAAGGAGATGCCTGAACAACCAGGACTGTTACACAGAGAAACACTATATCAAAAACCCACAAAAAATTTCAGTTCATGTATGATTATGAAATTCTCCAGTGAATGAGAACATCTTACCTCTCCAGAATGATCAGCAGTCTAGTGGGAAGAAAGAGATTCAGGAATTAGTTAATACACCCCACATTTTCATTTTGACTCTAAATTCACCGTTTTAATATAATAAAATTTTAAAGAATTAAAATTAGACTTTTCTGAGAATAATTTATCATATTTAGTAATTATTTACTTTGGTCCATGTACCCTTAAAGGATGCAGTGTTGTAAAATTTAATTCATACAGATGGTAGAATGAAAATGGAAAAAAAATTGAGTTTGTTTTTATTAGGATAAATAGAAAGTAGTTTAAAATGCCTAATACTGAAATATTGTACTATTAAATTCATCCTTATTTTTTTCCTATTATTTTAGAGTTGAATTTTTCTTCGTGTGTATTTTGTAGCAAAATGTGATAAATGATTATTTTACAAATAATTATTATCAAAATATTATTTGTGGAAGAATTATCACATTTTTATTTCACACATTTCCAATCCTAGATATAATAAAAGAGAATGAGCAGGAAGAAGAAATGGAAGAATTACAAAAGAGTGGGGTATCATAGAGATGCAGGATATAATTAGTGGCAAAGCAGCAAATAAAGATACAAGGTGTGGTGTCTACACTGGGCAAGTCTGCACTTTCATGATGGTATAAAACAGTCTCATAACTTCAAGTAAAAAAAGATTATTAACAGAAATACATGAGCGGTAGAAGGTACATGACAAAACCCTCATTTGACTTGTAGGTCGCTGTTTGGGGTTCACTATTCTAGTAGCCTCAGTCCCTGCTCAGTCTCCTTTTCTTATATGTGTCAGAGGTTCTTTTTCAAGTATAATTCAATCAACATTCAATTTTTCTATTATTTGTGCTCTTGTTACATTTTATGTATATGAAAGTATACTTCCATGTCTGTGTCTAGTTACTAAGAACTTCTAAATAAGAATAAAGTTACAAAAATTGATTCAATAAAAAGTGAGCCCATGAAAAGATTCAAAGTAGTAAAGATTCATTCAAAAGTAAGTAAATATTACTCAGAGTGTTTTTAACCAGACAAGTTGTTGGCTAAAATTGCTAAACACACATTCTTTACACTTTCTGGGTGTACTTACAAGCATGGAGACCATGAGAGCCATTATCAAGGCAAAGACAAGGAACCTCATGCTTACTGAACCCTGTAAAAACACAGGCAACATTTAATAAGCATCTTATTTTCAACTTCAACACAAAGACATTGATGACCCTGCTGTGCTCTTCGTCAGTTGGACTAAGTTTATACCCTCAGTGTTCGCAATGACTAAAAGGGGAGTAGATTAATTAGATGTGAGCTGATAAGAGAACTCTAACGTTAAGTGTTGACACACTAATTGCAGCATGATGAATTATTTAGGACTTTCAAGAAATTAAAATAAAATATTAGATATAGTTTTATTCTATTTTAATTAAACTGATTCAAGGATGTTTACTTAGAATTTTGATATTAACCATAGTGTATAATAAAAGTTAGCTTGAAAGGGAGATGAAATAAAATGCATTCATAGTTACATTGAGAAATTTACTTTTAACCAGTTATTTACTATAAATTATAAAATGAGACCATTGAGGGAAGATAAAATGCAAAGTCTTTCAATAATAGGATAAAAGCTAGGCAGACAGATAAGTAGCCACAAAGAAACACACACATACAAGTAGATACCAATACGCACATTAATTGACACATTGTTGAAGAAATACTTACCAAACACAAATACAATATTTGAAATACCAAAATATTTTCTTTTATGAAAAATAATTAGGTAAATGAAGTAAGGAGAATGAATAGGTAACATAGAAAATTCTGTGCATCATTAATAATATAAGTCCTCAACAATGAAGGGTGTATTTTCCATGCTAAAAATATTATGAATTTGGTGAAATGGCAAAAAATAAAAGAAAGTTGATTGTATAGCATAGAATAACTTTGAGAAGTTGTTATATGTGTACCAATTTCATCCATATTGAAAACATCCCTCCTGATGGATGAGCAATCCTGGATTGCAGATCTTGGGTGCTAATATACCTTAAGACTAGAATCTCAGAAAGATAGAAAAATCTGGAACTCCCTGAGTTTACAGAGCAGCAACCAAGTGCCAGAGAATATGATGCTCCTAGAGGGAGTTCATTGACTTGGACAGAGGGTTACAGATATGCAGATGTGGTGAGAGGTCAGCCATGCAGAGATGATGTTTACAGCAGCATAGTTGCCTTTGACACATCCTCCAACATGCTCTTGTAAGAATCCCCACAAAAGTTCTGGTATGTAATTTGAGTGTGTTCATTTCAGTACCAAAGAGGCTTATGGGGATTTTCTCCTTTTCTCTGTGATCTGTGATTAGTGCAGTACCTTGTATGAGCAGGCATTTGTTCTTACATCTCTCAGAAACATCACCCAGTGTCCTTCTGTCATGGACTTTTACAAACATAAGCCTTTTCACAATGGGACTGTGCAGTTTACCTCTGAATTTTAGGCTAACGTTTCAGGTTAATAGAAAAATCATTATTGAGAAAGTGAATATTGGCTACTGAGGAATGACAAGAAGAAAGATACAATGATTTCTAGGAAATGGGAGAAGTAATACATCACTAATTCCACATCATTCTTTGAAGATATCTAGAGTCTGTTCTTAGGAACTCATATAGGTGCTGAATAGAACCACCACATTTTAAATTCTTTCTGAATAAAACTTTACAGTAGTTAATAGGATTAATTTTAGTTTTCATTTGATTAGTTGTAACAAATAAACAGTTTAGGGAAGACAGCAGCATAGAAGACAAACAGGCATGTTACCTTTACCTAGGTTGAGACTAGTGTCTGAGCGGCAGAGGTGCAGCCTACAGATGGTGATCCTGACTAGAAGGCTGAACATTTAAACATACCAAGATACCAAGCCTACTATTCAAATAGTGCCAATTAAAAGGTCATGTTAAGGAACCTGAAAATAATGTCCAGAATCTGTCTCTTTAAAACACCAGTAATCAACTTGAAAAGGTGATTTTACAATAGGAGTCTGTGAAGAGCAGATGACCAGGAAATAGCAGGAAAGGGGCCATCACTGTTAACCCTTCCAGCATTTGTGAATAATCAGAAAACATCGCCCTGAAATAAAGAGCGACAGAAATAATGGAAATATTAAAGTCATGTTTCTGTAAATCGCTAGTATTATCTCCGTGTCATGTAACACTGTTCCAAATCAGGGAGGCCTTTCTGGAACTTTTGCAGAGTGACTTAGCATCTTTTATTCCTCCTCAGTACAAATAATGATGAATTTGACAGTGCTGTAACCCATTATTTATTTCAAATGTGTTTCCTGCAGAAAACCATTCAAATTATACTTTTAAAATAGTTTAGAGTATTTGAGTATTTTTCTGTCTATTTTAGATACCAGTTTTGTCCAAATTCATTATTCTGTTGTTGAATTTAAATAATAAAATTATCTTCTAGGAGCTTGGTACTATATATTTCAAACATAATGTTGTCCTGACAATTGGGTATTTAGCCCTCTGCCTTTGAGTTTTTATGCACTCATGCAGTAGAGAGAAAGAAGGAAAACACAGTGTATTATATTCTTAGGAAAATTTAAAATCCACTTGCTGGCTACTGTTTTTATTTCTGAGTATCATAGAGACTTTTTTTTCCCACAGGCAACACATCTCTAGAACTTTCTCAAGACCGTAACATTACACAGTGTATAGAGATTAATTAAATATGCCTGATTTTTAGTTAAAATAATTTTATATCATATATTCTGACTTGCTTTTCCCCTTCTCAGCCTCCTCGCAAAGACTCTCTACTTTTCCCACACCCTTTCTTTTCTTCCTCATTAGAAAGCAAACAAGCGCCAGGCAGTGGTGATGCATGCCTTTAATCCCAGCACTCGTAAGGCAGAGGCGGGTGGATCTCTGTGAGTTTGAGGCTAGCCTGGTTGGTCTACAAGAGCTAGTTCCAGGACAGGCTCCAAAGCTACAGAGAAACCTTGTCTTGAAAAACCAAAATAAGAAAGAAAGAGAGAAAGAAAGAAAGAAAGAAAGAGAGAGAGAGCGAGAAAGAAAGAAAGAAAGAAAGAAAGAAAGAAGAAAGAAAGCAAACAAACATTGAAAAAAGGGTGAAAAGATAGAAATAAAAGAAAACCACGTAACGGGTAAAATAAAAAACAACATGTGAAACTAATAAAACAAACAAATGAACAGAAAAATAACCAAAGAAAAGCACAAGAGATACATATAGATGCTAAGACACGCATTCACATACAGATATATTTATTAATGACACAAAATTCAGAAAGCATAATATATAAACAAATGCTCGAAAGGGTGAAAAAACGCCCAGACCGCTATAATACAAAACCAAAACAATACAGTCTTTCAAAAATGCCAAGTTATTTTGTGTTGGCCATCTAAACCTGGCCATGGGGTCTGCTCTTAAGACAGCTTTGTATATTCAGTGAGACTCCATGGGAGAAAAATCAGTTTTCCTTCATGTGTGGTTATCAATGGGAGAGCGTCTGGGTTAGGAACAGGGTCTCTGTCTACTTCTTCTATCAGCACTGAGACCCCCAAATGCTTAGACCTGTGATGGTCCTGTCCTTGCTACCAACTGTCTGATTTCAAAATTGAAATCTTTACCTGCATTCTTCCGTAGTTCTTTCATCACCAATTCACTTACCTAAAATTTGGAGTCATGGTGTTAACAGATCTGACCCTGAAAAAGAATGAGAAAAAATAACATTTGAAATAGATATTTCAGAAATATCAAAAGCTGATATCTTTTGTATTAAACAACATCTATCAGAATACACATATATGAAAATATTTTCTATGAATGTTGTAAGAAATCCGAAGCAAAGAAGTGTGTGAAAATGCCTTCAGTCAAAAATTGTTTTATTTCAGCTTTTTAGGCTGAAGGGGAGTTGTAAATTTGATGCTATCGAGTCCTTAATAGAAGAGCAAGAGTGGAACGTTAAACTAGTCCGACAAAAATGGATAAGTACTTTAATTTTTCCAAGTACCCAATGAATTAGCTTGATTGCTGTATAAACCAAATTTTGAAGTTGAAACTCATCGTGTTCTTTCTCATCCACATCACAATGTCTAACTCATTCTATCAGGTTTCCTTTATAATCACCTGAGGCTTAAACAGCCTTACCATACACCTTGGGCAGCTTTGCTAGTCAGCCGTTTTATTGCAGAAGTCTGTCATACTTCAGTGACCTTCTTGAATTTCTGTGTCTGTAACATCTCCTACTTTCTTTAGAACATTGAGGAAATCAATAAATAGAAAATTGTTGACTGAGTTTCTGTCTCACCCAGTCCTTGTCCTGCCTGGTTCTTGCAGTCCTTAAGTCCCAAAGAAATTACACAGAGGTCTACATTAATCATAAACGGATTGGCCCATTAGCTCAGGCTTCTTATTAACTCTTATAACATATATTAGCCCATTATTCTTGTCTATGTTAGCCACATGGCCTGGTACCTTTTTCAGCGAGGCAGTCACATCTTCCTTTTTCTCTGGCTGGGAAAAAACTCCAGAGGAATGGGCTTTCTCCTCCCCAGAATTCTCCTGTTCTCACTGACCCACCTCTACTTCCTGTCTGGTTGTCCCACCTATACTTCCTGCCTGGCTACTGGCCAATCAGTGGTTATTTAAAATATAATTGACAGAATACAGACCATTCTCCCACATCAGAAAATAATCAAATAGAAAGAATGTAAAGATAAACTTAGATCCCTTCGGTGTACAAGTGAACAAAGAGGACACAGAGGTGGAGAATGTGATCATTGGAGACTGCTTTGTCACAGCCTGCTTAGTAGATGGGTGGGAGTATAAGACAGTCTGAGAAAGCACAGGTAGAAAGTCAAGAATTATAACAAGTGGCCGTTGTTGACAGTAATGATTAAGAGTTTGTTCCAAGCCGGGCGGTGGTAGCTCATGCCTTTAATCCCAGCACTTGGGAGGCAGAGGCAGGCAGATCTCTGTGAGTTCCAGGCCAGCCTGGTCTACAAGAGCTACTTCCAGGACAGGCTCCAAAACCACAGAGAAACCCTGTCTCGAAACCCACCCCCAAAAGAAGAGTTTGTTCCACATAGGACATTGATATTAAGAGATGAAAATTTGTCCTGTTATGGATAGCAGTGCCCAGATGAAGACATCTGTAGATAACATATTAGGTTTATCTATGCTCCATAAATTGCTCTGGAATATAAGAAACTTCATAATTCTGTGTAACGCAAAAGACCTGATGAAAAAAAATTCTATTATTAAGAATTTGTGTCATTCTTCCAGGATGTTTACTTTTAGGATATTCTATAATTTCATAATTTTTGCTTATATTAATAAATCAATTTAACACCAATATTTTGATTAGTATATTTTTATTATATTCAAGTAAATTTACGTGTTGAAATAAAATATTCCATTTACATATTGCACACATTTATCTATTCTTTTTTATATATAAATGTGTAGTTAATTATATTTACATTTGAAATATGGTTGAACTGTTTATTTTCCTTCCCTACATCCACTTTTATTGAACAGTGTTTTGAATATTACTGATTGGTATTATAATGATGCCTATGTTTACAAATAAGTATACAATCCTAAAAAGAATACAATCTCTCAGGTCTCAAATTTTCTCATTTCACTATTTTATCTTAAGAACATTGTATGAAACATTGTATGAACCTTGTATGAACATCTAGGGTCTCTTTTAATCTTTACTTTGTGAGTGGTGGTTCACTGTATTTTACTCTTTGTGTCACAATTTTCTCTTTTTATGCATTTCTGAGACCTCACCTGTTATCGTTAGAGGGCATTCAAATCCTAGGCTTGCATATTTCAAGCCCATAACCCAAATCAAAGGATATATTGTACTCATTATATCTTGTTTGCGGCAAGGCTATTGAGAAACCTCAGAGTCGGTGTCATCTTTGTGTGTGTGTGTGTGTGTGTGTGTGTGTGTGTGTGTGTGTGTGTATGTGTGTGTGAAAACTGTAAGTTGAGTGAGTCTGAGATGCCAGACATTGCTTCTTAAACAATTGTGGTCCAAAAATTACCTTACTCCAAACATCTGCTTCAGTTTATACCTCTAGCTTTTCTATTTTTCACTGGAGAATTCTCATAATTTAGTTTATTTTTGTGCTTTTCTTGATCATGATTTTATTTAATTTTCTGGATCAGACAAATCTGTAAGTATACTGATTAAACATATAAAGTTAGTGAGAGAATCTTGAGGAAGTGCTTTAGCTATTACACATGGTGTAAAGCATTTTGATGAGAAAATTTAAAATAAAAAAAATATTGTGTGACTAAGGCATGCTCACTTTTGTGTTAGCTTTCTTGGAAATCATACAATGTTACCTGTGATATTGGCAATCCAGGAAGCTGGCAGAGGGACACACAGGGCAGCCAAAGTGTTTCCTAAAATGGTTCAAGACATTGGAAGAATTTCAACTTTCCATTTTCCGGATTCTCCTTGGCTTAGAATGCTCACAGACTTTGTCAATATCAACTGAAAACAACAAACTAACAACAACAAAATAGGCCTTGTGTTTGATTTCTCATGTACTACAACACAGATTTGACTCTCAGGGGTGTCAATGTCTATCATAAACTTCTGTGATGGAAATGTAATATACGTTCAGAAAAAATGATAATTAGACATATGGTAAAATTTTTATTTAAAAAGATAAATTACTTTTTACAGAGAATAATACAAAGAAATATTAAACATTTCCAGCATAAAATATAAAGAGCTAAGTACTTTTATGAATATCTGCCGTTAAGTAGACAATGAAATTTTGGACCTTCCGTTTGTAAGTCTTTGCAAATTAAGTA